AAGAGTGCAAACAGATAATCCTTCCTATTAAAGGATATATTTTCAGGGGGATCAAAGACCAACAGATACCTCTCCACAACAGCGCCCAGAAAAAGCAGGTGCTTTCTTCTGTGTTCTCCAGAAATCGGCTTCAAACAAAAAGAAATCCGTTGCTCCATTCCAGGAAAATTTCTGTGTTCACCACTGAACACAGGTGAATAGTACAACAGGAATCAACCTCCAGTGTGGTTTCTGCTTCAGCGGGACACACAAAGCATCATCTGTTGCTGCTCTCCTGGAGAGAAAGGTGTTCATAGGGAGAGCCAGCTCTCAGGCTGCAGATAAGCAAGTGCTGCATGAAGCAGACAGCAGCCACTGGGCTCTCCCTTTCAGCGGTGAGGCAACACTGCCCCGCTGGGACGGAGCACAGAAACGAAAAGGGAGATGTTGCTCATTCTCTGGTAGATTTTGCAGCCGTTTTTATCTCTTTGGGGAAGGAGTGGAGAGCAGCTCCCAGCCTTGGTGAAAGACAGCACCGATCCTTTTATTCTTTGGGAGATCTGAATCGTGCTTCTTCCAAAGGTGCAGATTAGGAGCAAGATCTTCATGGTTGCCCAAAGGCATCCTCCTTTCTCCTGTCTTCTCTTCTGCCAAGAAGGCCACAGTGGTGCTTAGGGAGGCCTCGCTCCTGTCTTTCAGGATGGCTGTGACAAAAGCAAGCTCCCAGCGCTGCCACCACACTCTTACTACCCCCATGTCTGCGAGGCCTTGCAGACCTGGAGAGCAAGCAGTGGCAGGAAGTGTGTCACTGAAAGCCAGGTTCTGCCCCTCTCCTCACCCGCTGGCTTTACAGGTCATTGTACTGCTTCTGCTGGAACAAATCACGGAGAGAGGTCACATGCTGCTCCATGAGACCTGGTCCTTGAAAAGTGGGAAACAGTTGCAGTCCTTGGGGTGACAGCAGAGGACAGCCAGAAAGATGAGCCACCTCCTCCTGGGGGGTTCCTGTAGGACTGGACCTCACAGAACAGAGACCCACAGCTCAGGGTCTTATCCCACCTCTCTGCACCCCTGCAATCTGTACAGAGCCTTCCCTGTCAGAAAATCAACCCAGAAAAGCCAACGGCCTGTGCTGAGAACAAGCAAACCCCAACAGGCCTTTGCATCCTCTTGAGCGCTGAGAACAGCCCCATCCCTTTGGAAAGGAATTTCCTTAAAAGCCCCCCTTCCCCAGGGGGAAAGAAGCAGACTTGCACAGCAGAGTTTGGACGCACCCTAGTTTTTTTCCTTTATCTGAAATTTCTTTCTCTGGATGACCAGACAACAAATGCCTGCACTGACAATCCCAAAACAACACTCTTGTTGCAACACCCGGACCAGTCACCAGAGTCCACTAAGGCACTTTCTATCTCTGTTTATATCCTGGCAGTATTTTTCACCTCTGCGCTGATTCAAAGAAAGCAAGTTTTAAAGAATGCTGATAAATTCCCCCCAGTTAAACGCCTGAAGGCACAAAAGGGCTCAAGGAAATGAGCCTTAAACAGTGACCGAGCCAGAACTGTAGTGCGTACACACAGAACCACAAACATGCACACCAGACCTTGGGAGGAAGGTGCGTTTTCAAGTAACTCCGAAGCAAAGCATCTTCCAAATACTCGTTTCCAGTCTGGGGCTGCTCTTGGAAGAGGGTCTCGGTTTCTCTCCTTGCAAGGGGCATTTCCAGATCTTCTAATACTTGTTTCTCCTGCACACTGACCTGTTGCCCCTGCCCCGCGGTCATGTTGATTCCTTTACGACTTGGCAGTTGGTGTCTCTCCCAGACGGAAGGCAGAAAGCGACCTGACTGCTGCAGCTTGCAGGTAGCACTGGATCTCCACCAAGGCAGGCGACAGGTAAACATGATCCTGCAAAGCCCTTGGTGTCTCACGCCAACGGCTCTCACCTCCAGACCCTTCCTTAGTTGACAGCGGCACCAATCCTGTTCTGTTTTAATGTTGTGAAGTTATTTTTGCCTTATCTCCGCCCTCGGGGAGGAGCTTTCCAGCAGCTGTTGTCAACTGAATTAGGGAAAAGGTCTTTGGATAGAGCTCAGAAAATGGCCTGGAGAAACACAAATAGTCAAAAAACAGTGTGTCCTGCCCTGCCAGCCAGGCAAATCGTCATAACCAGCCAGACGGACGTTTCCAGAGCTGGGGGAGCTGGGGGGTGATCTCACCAGCACCCTGCTGAATTGCCTGGGATGATAACAGGGTAGAGATGAGAAGGAAAAAATACATTTCCTCATCCAAAGAAAAACAAAACACTTGGAAATGGGAAGAAAGGGTTTAGGCAGGTTATTCTGTAAATAAGGTACTGGTGAAATAGGGAGTTCATCTGCCTTGCCCGGGTTGTGACGCTAGCTCTAAAATAGTTTC